ACACTAGTTGTTTCCAGATTTTGTCTATTGTGACTAGTACTATAACAAACGTAGGATTGCAGATATATTTTCTTAATAGAGCATTATTTGGCCATTGGGGTAGACACTAAGAAACTGAATTTCTGGTTCATTCAGAAGCTTAATTTTTAGTTTTTGAGAAGGGTACTATGTTTTTGAAGGGATTGACGCAGTCGAGGTTCCCACCAACTGTGGATGAGGGTTCCTTCATTCCTGCCTGCCCTCCAACCCTGGCTGGCAGGGGAAAGAACAAAAACAACAATGTTCTTTTACTTCTTTGTGATATGGGCCAGTCTCTCTTTTGTGAAGTGATATCTCATTTCTCTGATAAGTGACAAAGAACTTTTCTCATACACCTTTTGCCCATCTGTATGCTTTCTTTGAGGAATTTTCTGTTTATCTTTTTTTTTTTTTTTTTTTTTTGCTTTTTTTGCCACATCCAGCAATACCCAGGGGTTACTCCTGGCTCTACACTCAGGAATTACTCCTGGCAGTGCTTAGGGGACCGTATGGGATGCTGGGAATCGAACCTGTGTCAGCCATGTTGGCTGTGTGCAAGGCAAACACCCTACGCACTGTACTATCCAGCCCCTTCTGCTTATCTCGTTCTCTCTTTTTTATTTTTATTTTTACAAGCTTGGTTGTTCTTTTCCTGTTAATCCTACCATTGCTTTATATGTCTTGAATATTAATACTTTATCAGCTTTCTTCACCCATCATCTCTTGCTTTTTCCACACCGTCATCTGTATACCAGGAATATACACCTTTCTGTCTTTTTCCTCTTCCCTCACATGGAGAAAGTACCTGCTGGCACCAGCTGCTAACCTACTCATCATTTTCCCACTTGTTTTCACAGCTTACTGCTAAATAAATGGCTTGATACAAGAGTCACCTGAGTCCATCATGCCAAATATGAGGGCTTTGTTGTAGTTTTGTTTTTTGGTTTTGTGGCTGTACCTAGGGTGCTTGGGGGCTAATCCCAGCTTGGTGGTTGTGGGGGTGATCAGGATTGCTCAGGGTTCTTGCAGTGCTCAGGTGTTTGTGTGGTACTGTGTGGTACCTGAAGCAGGGACTCCTGAATACAGAGCATGTGCTCTAGCCCTTGAGCTATCTCTTTGGCCCCTTGAAGAGTAATTTTAATCTGTCTTTCTTGACCATCTAATCTTATGAGATATCACCAATTTCTTCCTTGCCTTCTTTGGTACCAGTTTTTATCCTTTAGTTCTCTGATTACTATTTCTTTTCTTTCTTTTAATTACTGTTTCTTAGTATATTTTTCTACAGGGTACTTTAATCTTCACATTAATTTCTGATAAGCCTGGCAAGCTTCCCATGACGTATTCGATATGCCAAACACAGTAACAACAAAGTCTCCAATGGAGACGTTACTGGGCCCGCTCGAGCAAATCGAAGATCAACGGGAGGGCCTTTACTTACTTTACTTACTTAATCTTGGATTATTTTTCAGTATAAATAACATGTACATTTTTATTCTTTCAGTATAAATAACATCCTGGGATGATCTCGTAGATGAGGTCTCACTATTACACTCTCAGGGACTTGTAACTTGAAAATCTGTATCAACTTCCCCGACTATTCTCCTAACTTACATCCTATCTAGCTACCTTCTGGCATCATTTTTTAGGTATTGCATTGGTATTGGTACTTCATTTTACAAAAATAGTTCTTTTTGTTGTTCAGATTGTCTCACAATAAGATTAACTTAATTTTTTTAGATATTAGAATTTTAGATTTTATTTATTATTTTTTTAAATGTAAGAGTCCTGCTATTTATTCAGCCATTATTAAGCTGATTGAATTGGGCATGAACTCCACATTACTTTTTTTTATTATTGAACCACTGTGAGATATAGCTACAAAGCTTTCATGTTTGAGATTCAGCTGTACAAAGATTGAACATCCATCCCTCCACCAGTGCACACTTTCCACAACCAGTGTCCCCAGTATATTCCTCTCCCTCCCCCATCCCAGTCCTCACCCTGCCTGGCTGGGCTGTCCCTCCAGAGCTCAGCATCCTGACTGTCACACACACATTGTGCCTCTGGGCATCATCTTAGGTTCAGAGAAGAAGCCCAGTTGAATCCCAAAATGGATTAGTGCCCTGCAGAAATGTCTCTGGAACCCAAACATTTACAATCTAGAACTCCCCAATACTCTCTATTTTGGGCATTATGTTTTGCTTGAATTTTCCCACCACCATTCAAGCCAGGGGCAGATGCTAGATCATTTATTATCCGTTGCTCATTTTTAATATCTTGGGTGCCCCAGCCACACGCTTCTGTAATTCCAGATTACACAATGACATGCTGTACATTTGTGATGCTGTCCTTTTTCTGCATGATTTCTGTTAATTTTATCTTTTCCTAGACTTTGTCTTTAAATTTTTCAGGTGAGCTGGGGAGGGGTGGGCTTGGGGCTACATCCAGCCGTACTCAGGGCTTACTCCTGGATCCGTACTCGGGGATCACTTCTGGCATGGCTCAGGGAACCAGATATTTTGCCAGGCCAGCACCTAACCACTGACCAGCCATTTTCCTAGACTTTTAATGTTGATGCTTAGAATGTGGAATTTCTTCTCTGATTGTGGGTATTCTGTGCTGTCATTTTTCTTCCAAGTGCTACTATAGTTGAATCCTACAGTTTTTGCTATGCTGAACTTTAATTTTCATTCACTTCACTTTTACTCTTGAATTTCCCTTGAAACACCTTTCTCATATTTATGGGTTAGTTAGAAGTTTGTTGTTTAATTTCCAAGAGCTTTTACACCTTTATACTATTTTCTAGTTTTATTATTTATTATTTATCAGGGAACATTGTAGGATTTCACTCAGTTCTTCTACTTGGGTTAGAGTTTGATCTAGTGTCTGATGCATCTTCATGAATATGCCCCATAGACTTAAAAAATTATTTGTTAAAAAAATTATGTGTAGTGGTGTTTAAGTTTTATTTGGACCCAGTAAATAGTGTTTTTCAGTATTTATCAGTAATTCATGCTAAAATTAGCACTGCACTGTAGCACTGTAGAGCTGCCCTCCCGTAGTTCATTGATTTGCTCGAGTGGGCACCAGTAATGTCTCCATTGTGGGACTTGTTACTGTTTTTGACATATCGAATACGCCACAGGGAGCTTGCCAGGCTCTGCCATGCAGGCAGGATACTCTCGGTAGCTTGCCGGGCTCTCTGAGAGGGACGGAGGAATCGAACCTAGGTTGGCCGCATGCAAGGCAAACGCCCTACCCACTGTGCTATCGCTCCAGCCTGTGCTAAAAGTACAGTTAAAAATGATTTTGCCTTATCGTTTAAGATAATTTTGTTTGTGTCTTCAAATCTTTTAATTCTGAAAGTAATTTGGGAGGAATTATAATTTTCTGGGAGCATTTTATAATGAATCACTGCCTGTAGGCATATTGTTATTTTATGAATGACTTATAGAGAAGGTGTTAGTTGTACTGTGTTACAGTACTTCCTATTTTTAACCTTCTTGCCTTACACTTGTCATAACTCTTATATTTATTCTTTTATTATATTCTTATGTACCTGTGAAAAATATTAAAAAGTGAAGGTAGGTAATGTTATATATTCCTAAATTTACTTCATAAATACTGAAAGAGAAAGCAATTTTCTGCATTATTTCACTTTCTTTGTCTGTAGTTCAGGTAACATAGTTGCATCATGTCAGCATTTCTGGTCTTGATGTATAGTCACTGCAGCTTAATGACCACCGAAGTGTTGCTTCCAACCTGCCTCTTCCTAGCCCCTCAGTCTGTTCCTTCAGTGCTTGGTACGCTCTATTTTGTAATCAAAGGCCAAGGGTTTGCCATCTTTCAGTACTATCTTTTGTTTTGTGAGAAGACTCTAAAATTGTTTTAAATAGAATTACTGTGAATTGCAAAGTTATTCATGATCAAGTTTCAGGCATTCCATGTTCCAACAACAGTCCCTTCATCAGCGTCTGCTTCCCTCCACCAGTGTCTCAGTTCCTGCGCTATGCCCCCGCCCAAAATCCTGCCTCTATGATAGTCACTGTTATTTTTTCTCTTTTACCTGTTCTTTTTCCCCTGTCTTTTTCTTTTCTTTTCCCTGACTTTTTCTTTTCTTCCTGGCATGGATGTCTTTTTTAAATGTGTAAATTATAAAGCACAATGTAGTAGAATATGATGAATATTGCAGCTTGTTATTCACCAATAAGAAAATTTTTGGTGCTATAGTGTGATCAAAAACCAGACTGTCATGGATTGCAAAATGGGGAAGCAGAAAGACAGAGGTGATAAATATAAAAAATATAAAAAATTTGCTTTCAGCAAGATATTAAGTGAGGAGATGGAAATGAAAGAGAATTTTTTTTTTGAAAGAGGATTTTCTTAAGTTGGAAGGAGCTTAAAATTAAAACATTCTTTTTGTGCTAATGGAAGCAAAAATACGTAATTTGTATTCTGATACTTTTATTCAAAGATATTAATTTCTACTGCTTATTTCTCACTTATAATAACCTATGTAAATAAACTGTCTTAATAATTCAGTTTCAGATTCTGATCATTTACAGTATAGTAATTATTCCTGAGTACCAAGAAGTGAAGCTCAAATATTTTGTATTGTGTCTACATAAACATTTAGGAGGAGGAGAAATGTATCTGCCCATTGTAAAGAAATCATTTGATTTGAGGGTTAACTAATCCCCATTCAGTTTTAAAATCCTTTTACTTGAATGGTTAATAAAAGCATAATTGGTGTCTGTTTTGAGTAATTATGTTTGGGGTCTAATTGCTTCTTTTTTTCTCACCAAATGTATTGATTAAATTGATAAAATGCCAGGGCTTCTTATCAGATTATTATCTAGATATGATTAGTGTTTGTCAAAAAAAAAAAAAAGAACAAACAAAGCAGTACCTGGATATTCCTAGGTAAGATGCTGATGTAGCCTTAGTCATTCTTTAAACTTAGTACATTAAATGACAAACAGGGAATCCTGCAAAACCTGGCAACTATGTATGGAGGCAGGCCCAGCTCTTCAAGAGGAGGGAAGCCAAGAAACAAAGAGGAGGAGGTATGCTTCCCGCATGTTCTCGGCCTCTCACACAACCATTTTTCAGTTGATTGCCTTCTTTTTTCTTGCATGGTTTAAATTTTTAACAATTATTTGAGGATTTTTGTTAGGTCTATAGGGACCCGTTAATATGCTTTGACTGACACACTGCTATGATTTTGCCCCCTGTTACTCAGTACTCTGAGTTCAATTTCTTTTCTTTTGATAAAATTAAAATTTGTAATTTTAATGTATTTCTTTTCAGAATTAAGTTGATCCAAAGTTAAACACTTGAAAGCTAATCCTACATTTCCATTAACCTAATTTCAAAACTTTTATTTCTTGTATTCAGATTAACACTTTTTTTTCTTAAATTAAATAAAGTTTTAGCAGTATTGATAGTTTTTCTCTTACATTAAAATGTTACGTTTTTATCTATTTTATAGGTTTATCTGGCAAGGCTAAGACAAATACGACTGCAAAATTTCAATGAACGCCAACAGATTAGAGCCAAACTTCGTGGTGAAAAGGCATGTTGAAAACTATTTTTCTGGAAAGTACATGTAGATTCAGATTAAGAATTTTGTGCCATTTATAAAAGGCGAAAACTAACATAATGAAAGTCAAAGACCAGGAAACTAATTAGGGAGGAAGTGAGTTATATTTATATTATGTTAGATTGCTAAGATAATTTGTTGCAGAGGAATTCTGAGAGGAAAATGTAAGTTGTTCGTATTGGGAAATTCTCTATTATTCTGTTCTGATCTTTTTTCCATTGTTTAGGAGTTGAAAGTTGTGGAGAGTTCAGTTGCAGCTATGAAAAAAATATAGAGGCATTGACATTTCTTTTCATGTTCATATGTTAGTTCATATTGTTTTCAACAGAGCGTTGCATAGAATTTGAGATTCTATCCTAATGGTATGTTTATCTCCTTATTTTGTAGAAAGAAGCTAATGGTTCTGAAGGGCAAGAAAGAAATGAGGAGGCTGATGCAAGGTGTAAAAAAACAGAAATACTTAAGGTATAGACTAAAAATGATTTTTAGCAAGCTTTTAAGAGAAAATGAAAATCTAGAAAAAAATTAATATTATTAATATTGATGGTGCCCAGGCTTGCTCCTGGCTCTGCACTCAGGGATCACTCTGTGTGAACTCAGGGGACCATATAGGGTGCCAGGGACCAAACCCAAGTCAGCCATGTGCAAGGCAAGAGCCTTATCTGCAGTACTTTCTCTGTAGGCCCAAATTTTATTCTTGAATCTTACATAGTTAAATTGCCTTACTGTCTTTCCCTAATGTTTTTTTTTTCCACTTTATCCCTTACTTCTTACCTTCTGAGAGAATTAGTATTTTTCTTTCTTTATATCATATATTTAGAGAAATCAGTTTGATAAAACTCTGGCTAATAAACAAGAAACGGTCAAAGGTGGTCTTAGAAAGGTAAAAATAGGATCAGAGAGATATCTCAATGAGCTGAGTTCAAGGTTTCCATAATGGAGGCCTAGGTTCAGTTCCTGGCACTGCATGATTCCCCCCAACACCGAAAGGAGAGAACCCTAAACATTGAGCCAGGAGTAGTCCCAAAGCAATGCCAGGTATGGTCTGTAGAACAGACAAAATAGTGAGGATCCAGAGAGATAGTACTTTGCGTAAGGAGCCTGCCTGGCAAGCAGCTGATCTGGCATGATCCCAAGTACAGAGCCAGGAGTAAGCCCTGAGCACTGCCTGGGATGGCCCCAAAACCACCAGAAAAAAAATTCAAAAAAGTGACTACCTTAAAATGAACAATTAAGTGCATTCTCTGCTGCTTATATTATAACCTGCAATGTACAATTTCTCTCTTTTTTCACAACTCTCACAGTTTTCTAAATAAAGCTATTTTTTAAAAAAATGAAAATTACAGCTGTCCATATCTGAAGATTAATTAAGCCTATGTATAACAATCATAGTAAAAACATTTGCATCTTTATTTCCATTAGAATTTACACCCATAATTTTTTTTTTTGGAACCTGACAAATACTGAGTATTGAGCCCTGGTGACATAGAGTGAGCATACATTTTATTCTATAAGTAAAGACACTTCCCTATCATACATATACTTCCTTTTTGGCTAATAATATAGACCTGAAAAAAAAAACTCTGTTCACTTCTCGTAACTAATTGACTTATTTTTATTTTCAGGCCCAAGCAAATACACGTGCCGCTATACTAAAAGAGCAATTAGAGCGAAAGAGGAAAGAGGCGTATGAGAGAGAAAAGAAAGTCTGGGAAGAACAGGTAAGATTCAATTAGTTCGCAATCTTAGTCTTGATTGTGTTGGTGTTCCATATTGACATCGGGTTGTATGTCAGTATTCACTTGATCACTTGACATCCCATTATTCATCAGTTTACTTGAGCGGGCACCAGTAACATCTCCTTTCGTCCCTGTCACGTGCTAGTGTAGGCCAATGGCGTCTGCTTGCTCCAGGAACACGAAGAGCCTCAAACCAATCGTTCAGGGTCTTGATGAAGAAGTCTGACCATCTTGTAGGTGGGCGATCACACAATCTTTTGACATCACTTGGAATCCAGTCGGTAATGGCTTTAGTCCAGCGGTCGTCTCCAAATCTCATTACGTGTCTAGCCCGTTTGATTTTCGATGCCTTGGCAAACGAGAGAGTGTCCCTGATTCTTGATCGTTGACGGAGGTCGGAAATCGGGATTCTTTCTCTCACTTGAGTGAAGCGTGATACTCCAAGCATAGCTCTTTCGATTCCTCTTTGGGAGACCCAAATAGCGTTCTCATCCTGTTTTTGTAGGGCCCAGGTCTCTGTGACATATGTTAATGCAGGAAGAACAATGGAATCGAAGAAATGTGCCCAGAGCTTTCTTAGCTATTTCTTCGACGCTCTTGAAGACATTCCAAGCTGCTCTCTTCCTTCTGTGCAACTCGGGTGCCAGGTCATTTGTCATGTTGACTTCTTGACCTAGGTATACCTAACTGTTGCATTCAGAGATGTTCATTCCATTGAGAGCTAATGGAATGTCAGGAACGAGTCCGTTTCTTATAAACATTGTCTTCATGAGATTCAGTTGTAGTCTGACCTTTCCACACTCACGGTTGAAGTTGGCCAGCATTTGTGCCACTTGGCTAATGTTTGGTGTTATTAGAACATTGTCATAAGCGAAGCGGAGGTGGTGTAGTTGCTGAGTGTCTATCTTCACTCCCATTCCTTCCCATTCCAGTTGGCACATGATGTTCTCAAGGGTGGCACTGAAGAGTTTTGGTGAAATGGTATCACCCTGCCGATCCCCTCTCAATGTCGATGATCACTTCCTTGTAGAATGGTGAGATCCTGGTAGTGAATCTGTAATACAGGTCACAGAGGATCCTAATGTATTGAATTTGAATGCCCTGTGTGGCTAGGGCTTTGATGACTGCTTCAGTCTTAACAGAATCAAAGGCCTTCTTTAAATCAATGAACATTAGAGAGAGCAGTATCCTAAACTCCCGAGAAACCTCAATGAGCTTATTTACCGTGTGGATATGGTCAACTGTGCTGAATCCTTTTCAGAACCCAGCTTGCTCTCATGGTTGTTCTTCATCTAGTGTTGTGCCAATCCTATTCAGGATGACTTGAGTGAGCAGCTTGTAGATGACAGACAACAGGCAGATCGGGCGATAGTTGCCAATGTTGTGGATGTCTCCCTTCTTGTACAGTAGTACAGTCCTGCTGCTTTTCCACTGGGACAGAATCTTGCATTCAGACAGGTAGTGTGTGAAGAGCCGAGCCAGTGTATTGATGAGTACTGATGGCAGGTTCTTCAGGTGTTCGGGTCTGACCTTGTCTGGGCCAGGTGCTGTTCACTTCTTTACTGATGAAATGGCACGTCAGATTTCGGAAAGGAGAACTTTGGGAACAACATATCCATCTTGCAGAATTTGGTATGTGGGCAGGTGGACATGGCTATCGAAGAGATCCAAGTAGAAGTCATGGATAATCTACTCCACTGCCCTTCTGGAAGATGTGATAGATCCATCAGGATGTCGGAGGGCAGTCATCTTGGTCTTGTAGTTGGTGAAGGACAGGCAGAGTTGAGAATGCTTTTCCCGGCTTCTGCCGCATCTGCCAGCACTGTTGCTCTTCTCTCTTTGAGGTCTTCCTTTATCGTTTCTCTGCACTGCTTTGCAAGCTCGGACATTCGCTTGTGGTTGCCTGACGCTTGCGCCAAACCACGTTGGCAAATAAGCTCAAGAGTTTTCGAAGACAGGCCTTTTTATGTGGCGATCTCTCTCTCTTGGCGTTCCTCCCACAGTCATGGAGGTGGTGAACTAGTCAATCATATTCCTCATCAGTGTTGTCAACGATGGCATCTTCTCATGTTGACGCAATAGTGCCAAAGAGCTCCTAGTTGGTGGTCGTTCTGGGAGTTCTCTTCTTAAACTTTGCAGCCCTTTCTCCCTGCTCTGTGAAGTAGAATTTTGCATGAAGGAGATGGTGGTCCTGTGTAAACTCAAAAAGACTGGAAAAGATGGTCTATCTCTCCCCCTGCCCACGTTCGGTAGTCTCATGCCAGCTCCCCCACCCCGGGGAGGTCGATGGCGATGGGCAGGAAATGAGGACCAGGCTGATTGGTATCAGTTGCAGTTTATTCCAATCCCATCTCCATTCTCTGATTCTCCTCCTGAGTTTTCCTCTCCCATGCTACTTCATTCTCCTCCTCAGTCCCCTTTCATTCTCCTTCTGGCTCTGGAATCCGGATCTCGATACCCTTTCTCCTTCTCCTTCTCCTTCTGGAGTCTGGATCCTGATCCCCCAGCCCACTCTTACAGTCTAGTTAAATCCCAAAGCATGAGGGGTTGGGGGTAACAGTTTCCATAGGTGTGGTCACAATCAATAGGGGTAGAGTTCTTTCCCTTGGGGATAGCTGCTTCTAGGACAGATTCTCATTAGCAGGTTGACCCACCCTAGAGTGGAATCTCATGGATGTGTTTCTCCTCTCCTTGTCCAGCAAACATATAAGCATTCATAATATTAATCATTTTGTATGGACACAGTAAGAAATACATTAAGCTTATAGAATTGCTCTCCTAGGGCCATCTTAATCTCAGACTACAGTGCTCAGGCCAGATAGTCTTTCCTCTCCCTAGCATGGTCCTAGTCTTGTCGTTACTTTTGGATCATGACAGCATTTCCTACTTTGGACAAACTGGCAGGCTACTGAATGTAGCCTGCCCACACGGCAGACTCTGGCAAACTCCCCGTGGCGTACCCAATATGCCAAATACCAGTATCAATGATGGGTCTCATTCTCCTAAAGAGTCTTGAATATAATCTCAGGGCTAGGATGAAGGAGACGTTACTGGGGCCTGCTTGAGGCAATTGACGATTAACAGGATGATTTGTGATTTGTGACAGCATTTTCTGTGATCAGGCTCTTAACTTATAATTAAGAATTGTGGTGCTTTGGCCTGGCCCATTTCGATGCCAGGGTAGCTCACAGCTTGCCCTGGTTCTATTCAATCCCTCATTGCTATCCTGCTTTTGCAGTGGTAGGAATTAAGGGCAACTGAGGCTTAAGTCGAGAAAGCAGATGCCTGGGAGTGAATAATATTCAAAGCCAAATAAATCCTAAGTTACAAAAGCATAATATAGACTGTCTTCCTGTATCTATACAAAAAGGACATTGCTTTAAAGTAAATTATTCATAATGCATAAGGAGAGGAGAAAGACAATATTTCACTCATACATATAAAATCATAGATTTCTGAGGAATCTGACCTTACAAGTTAACAGAGTCTAATTAGGGGGGAAAGGCTGATTAACTGGTTGGGGAGGAAAGCATAGGGAAGAGTCTACAGATAAACACAATGGAATGGAAGTGCCTCAGGAGCACTGTAATAAACCTGAGTTCCTTGTGGCAAGGGAGAAAGGACAAAGCAGTGTTATCCTACCGGTCCAATCCCGTTTGGAATTTTGGGACAACAGCGACATCGGTCAGGCAAAACCGTCGAATGTCAACATTAAACTTTGTAATTCGATTATACTTTTCTTCTCTCCCTGGCTCTTTCTTCCTTTGTGCCCTCTTTGTCTTTCATTTCATCTCTTTCATATTTAAGAATGACTTACAAGGAAATTATCTAAGGTTTTGAGTTGAGGTGGGAACCAAATTTATTTATTTATTTGTAGTGCCAAGTCATCAATAAGAGTCATTTAGTAGCTTCACCTTCTTTCCTCCATTGGTTTTCACTGCTACCTTTGAGATACACTGAATGTTGTTGTTTTGAGCCATGCCTGGTGTTGCTAGGGGCTACTTTTGGCCCTGTGCTTGGGTCCCAGGGATTGAACCCAGCCTAAGATATACCAAATTCTTTTTTTTTTAAATTTTTATTAGTGGAACACCATGAGGTACAGCTGTAGATTTACAAAGTTTTGTGCTTGGGTTTCGATTATACAATGATCAAGTACCCATCCCTCCACCAGTGCCCATTTTCCACCACCATGGATCCTAGTATCCCTCCCACACACATCTCCCCATCCCACCCTGCCTCTGTGGCAGGGCATTCCCTTTTGTTCTCTCTCTCCTTTTGGCTGTTGTGGTTTGCAAAAGAGGCATTGAGTGGCAATCATGTTCAGTCCATAGTCTACTTTCAACATGTATCTTCCCTCCTGGGAGGATCCTCCAAACACCCTTTATTTGAGATATACCAAATTCTTAAACATACTATATATGTTAATTCTAGAGAATTAATATAGAGACTGTATTTGTCAAGCTATATAATTTTTCCGGACTCTTTCTTCTGCTTCATTGCTTCTTATCTTTATTCTGCCCACATCTCATTATATTAGTAATTATGGATATAGATATATTTTAATTTCTGATGGAATTTGATCCCTTGGTCTTTAGTTACTGTATTGGTAAGTAGTCATGACATACATTATGACTACAGTTCCTGATTTATTTATTGTATACCAGACACATTTTCACCACTCTGCTATTACATCTTCATTTAATATCTTGAGTGTTACAAAGCATTATCTAGAGAGAATAAAAGCACTGGATGAAATCACATTTCCAGAAAGTGTAGAGCAGGAATTTGAATCTGGACATACCCATATTAAGGGTTTTATTCTTATTTGTCATGTAACCCCCCCACCCCTGCTTTATATTATATAGTACTTGATTATTAATCTGTTATTTTGTTGTTATTGTTTAGATGGGGGATTAGACCCACACTTGTATTGAAGGCTAGTGCTGGTGGTGGTAGAGTCACACTTATAGCGTCACACTTGA